CTCTGGAATGGTGGCCCAAGCACGAAGGGGCATATGAATGTTTAGCATATCCAGCACGTAAATACCTTGCAACGCCGGCTATAAAGGTGCCATGCGAACGCCTGTTCTCACTTTCAGGTGACACTGTAAACAACAAGTGGGCAGCATTATCTCCTGCAAATTTTAATTAAACTTGTTTGTCTGAGCAATTGACTGAAGTAGAATTGAGTGGACTTGTAGGCTCTAAAGTTTTATATTGTTTTATTTTTGAATGCAATTATTTTTGGTACACAATTCTACATTTGTAAGTTCAACTTTCAGGATAAAGAGATTGCACTATAGTACTTGTATTAGGTGAATTGAAAAATATTTTTGTTTTTTTTACAGTGCAAATAATTGTAATCAAAAATAAATATAAAGTGAGCACTGTACACTTTGTATTCTGTGTTGTAATTGAAATCAATATTTGAAAATATAGAAAATATCCAAAAATATTTTAATTTCAATTGCTATTCTATTAACAGTACAATTTATCATGATTAATTTTTTTGAGTTAATAACGTGAGTCAACTGCCATTGACAGCCCTAGAAAAAACCAAATCAACAATTCCACAACCCTTCTAGGCTAATTTTATATATAATTAGGAGCAAAATAGGTATTTTCTGGCTGTGAATTAGAACAGCAGAGTCAAAGGGGCCATTTGTGGGGACGGGGAAGCCTGGTGCCCAAGGCTTTATCTACATTAGGTAAATCAATTAGCAGAATATCAATCGATTTTAACACACATGAGCAAACACTGATTATGTTACTATGGTCCCCAATGCTGACAATGTGCAAGAGTCTTGGGTGCAATTTCTAATTTTGGGGGGTTTTGAAGCCTGAGTAGGGAGTATTGCAGATACAGCATATTCAATCCCAGCATAGGGAATGTCTTCCTTCCAGGGCCAGTGCTACCATTAAGGCAAACTAGACGGTTGCCTAGGGCGCCAAGATTTGGGGGTGCCAAAAAGCGGTGCCCCCAATTTTTTTAATAGCATTCCTGGGCTGGGCTGCCGCGCGGTCGGTGCTCCACTTCTCCCACCTCCCAGGCTTGCAGCACCTATCAGCTGTTTGGCGCCGCAAGCCTGGGAGGAGAGGAGAATTAGAGCGGGGGCGGTGTGCTCGGGGAGGAGGCGGAGCAGAGGTGAGCTGGGGTGGGGAGCTG